TTTGAGGGCACATTGGAGGATTCTTGCCTATGATGTGTTCAGCATCCATTACATTCTATAGTAAAGCTTGGACTGCTTTGAAGTGTATTCAGACCCACAGCAGAAATGGAAACGGTACATTTAGATGGCACTAAACTTGAGGAAATGCTCCTTGTAAACCAAACCAGCTTGGACTTCGAAATACCTGTTTTACAGAACACAGCTGTCAAATAGTTTTGCTTTGAAGTCTGTGCTACTGAGGGAGCTGCTGGGGCTGTGCTGGGAAGGGTTCGCGGTCAGCAGGCATGCTGGCTGCTCTTGTGCTAGTAGTGAAGTTCCTGCTCTGAAGAATGAAATCTTGCCTTAAAGAGCAAGAGTATGGGTAAAAAATCTGTGGGATCTTACAAAAGAAATATGTGATGTAATGTTATGTACTAGGTCAAAATGTTAGCCTTGCAGAGTTCTGGGTAGAATTAGGTGATGAAAGGATTTTCTCAGTCATCTGATATTTTTGGATTGTAGCTTTGCTGGTCCTTCAAGAATTTTTTTTTTTTCCCCCATTTTATTTTAAAATGTATAGTTAGAATACATAGTTACCAGTCTGTACAGTGATACTGTAATTTGATAATGTCATTCAAAAATTGTAGTAAAATGGAAACTGCAGTTATTGATATAGAAACAATCTGTTTCATTGAAACACTTCACCTTGTCACAAGTTCATGGGATTTTATGTAACTGCTGTAAGCCGGGTATAGTGTTAGTTAAGCTCTGAGTTGTGCCAAAGGGACCTGGAGAGTGTTTAGAGGAGGTTTGGGAAGTGACCGCATTGTTCAGAGACCAGCTAACTACATTACTGGCAGTGGTAATTTTTCCAGGAGTGGGGCAGGAAGCATTTGTGTTTGCTATCATAATTACAGCTGCCCCCGTAGAGAGCCTTCCCTGTCTTGCCTGCTGTAGTACAAGGTAGTTCCGTGAAAACAGACTGCAAAGTAAAGTAAGAAAAATTAGATACTGTGATTTATTGTTATTATTCCATTTTTATCAGGCTATAGTTATATAAATGACAGTCAAGATTTCTTTCTTGATACTGAGGATTGTTGAAACATAGGACAAAATGTCTGTAAGCCCAATGCAGGATTTTCTGAAAATGACTAAGCCAGCTCCCCTGTGCTACGCGATCCAGATACAGACTTTCCGAAAAACTTGGCATCCTTCAAAGAGACCCCATTCAATGAGTCTTAGTCAGTTTATACTAATTCCAAAACTCTTGATAGCTTGAAATAAAATGTAGTTGAACCCCTAGTTAATTTTCCAGTGACTCGATTGATGAAACTCAGTACAGGCTGCAGACTCAGGCAAAGTTAAGTGGGTGTTCAGGCAGTTAGACCACGCTGAGCTGTCTTCTTCCACAGCGAGACTCCATACAGCAACCCGGTAGAGCTGCCGCATAGCTGTGCTATTCTGGAGGCCCAGCAGTGCCATGAACCATGGGTATCTGCTGACCTGGCTTCAGTTCTGCTTCTCTCCTGCAGCTTCACATTTACTGTATGCATACCATCCTCCTTAGCTTTCTGTCAGCCATCTTCAGTTGTCTTTCTACAGTGGAGTGCCAAGCGCTGAAAGGACGTGTAAAATCAGCACTTTTGGCTACAAACCTTTGAAGGTGAATTGGAGAGGTACTGATCGGGGGGGGAAGTAGGACATAACAGAACATAGGTGCCTGTCTTTTACAAAGAGTAAAATGCTTACTTCAACTTAGTGTCATTATTGATGGGTATATGCGTGCAGTTTATGAAGCTTCAGGTTATGTTTATGTCCACTTTAAAATGATTTGTTGCCATTTTCTTTGTGAAGGTGACTGAATCTGGTGAACAGGAAGAGAGACAGTTTGCCACATCAGAAGATGTTGTGGCTGGTCATGTTACTTCTAAGAAAGCGGTTGAAAAGAGTGAGCCACTGAAGACCTCTGAGAAACTGCTTATTTCTGAACCATCTAATGCTTATGACTTTGGTCAGATTATAAATGCAGTGAATACCAATAGGGATAAAGCTGCTTGTGCAGATCTTTTAACAATTACTGATCCCAAAAATTTGCCAGTGCTGCTAAGTAACAAACTTGAAGGAGAAATCTTTTTGATTTTTATCCAGTCGTTGGAATATTACGTAGTTGGAAAAGATCCTGGCCTTGTATATCGGCACCTTTTCTACTTGAGCAAAGCAGAAAGATTTAAGGTAAGAACGTAGAGTGAAAGTGTATTTAAGTTGCACAGAAACCAAAAGGAAACTTTCATATCTTGGAACGATACACTGATTTTGTATCTCTGTCAAATACTATGATTTTCAATAAGCCTGTGCTAATTATAAAATAATCTGTTTTTTCAGGTGGTACTGGCCCTTCTTAGCAAAAATGAAAAAGAACAGGTTCGGCAACTGTTTGACTTGCTTTCAGAAAACCAGAATGATCAGTACTCTTCAGAAGATCTCGAGAGCCTTAAAAAGGTTTATGAACTTTAAGAAGTTAAAGTTTATTGGTTGCATGCATATAGCTCATGTTTACAAGATGGATGTATGACTTCTGCGGACTTGTGTGGGTCGAAGTGGGTCTTTACCCAGACTGTGTGAATTCTGTTCTGTTTTGACAGCATATGCACATTTAAAACCTGCTGCTCCTTTTTCCTTGTAGTTGTATACATTTTTAATCTCTAGTATTTAATGCACGTCTCTGTGTTCAGTAACAGAGTTTGCGTTACTTAGCATACTGATTTTATTTAGTCTGTGTTAAGCTATATATAAAAAAGTATATTTTGCATTATATATATTGTTAAATATCTTGATGGTACAATATGATAATACACTTTTAGTCATCACTTGTTTTATCTTTTTGTGAGTTATGTGTTCTTGTGATAAAGAAGAGTCTTCAAGGTAAACGGATCAGTTAGCAATAGCTTTGCTAAAACGAGTTTGCAAAAAGTCTTAACATTTTTCAGATGAACTACGATGGGCCATCTGTTTCTTCACTATCCCTGGTCTATACAAAACAGATCTAAATATTTTCGGTGCAATACAGCTTAGCAGTAAGGTGAATTAATAATATGTTAGCTTGTCATGAAACGCTCTGAATCAAAATAATTATTAAACAAATGAGTATGTTTTAAAAATTATTAACAAGCGAGTAATTTTTAGTGCACAGAGAACTCTTTTTTTTTCTCTGTGTGTGTAAAGACTGCTGGTTTGCGCGGCTTTTGAAGTGACAGTGGTAAACAGGAGAACAAGTGGCTGCACTTGGCAGTAAAAATATTTAACTCTGAGGTTTGTAATCAGATTATGTAAAACACCAGCTATTTCTGTTTACAGACATAGTTATAAAGCTAAAAGTAAAACCATTTTGTGGACCAGCATGATTTATTTTTTTTGTTTCAGGCAGGGCTTATGTTTTCTATCCGATTCTGACAAAGCTCCTTTTTTCAAGATGAAACTTTTAAATTTTTCAGATATCCCAATGCCTTCTTTGCACACATGATGGAAGTGTGTATCAGACTCACTAGCACTGCAGTAATAAGAACGTTGTTCTAATGAAAATTTTTCTCAGGTGTTTATTAATTACAAAAATAAAATGTTTTTTTTTTTTTCTTGACAAGTACAACCCTGGATTCTCTTCTCTGGTTTTACACTCTTTAGGTTTACAATTCTGATGTCTGGATTCTGAATTTTGTCTTGAGTTAGAGTGCCAAGAATGAGGCTTTTAATTCCTAAAGCACTGTCAGTACAGCTGATGGTTTCTGTTTTCAAATGTTCTCTTTTTATGAGATGGTCATATGTTCAAGGGAGATCTGCTGCTCATCTAATCTCTGTGTAACCAATTGTACTTAACCAGCAAAGTGACGATTTCATTCTTCAGTCACGGTGGCAAGGTATTCACCTCCCCAATTTTTGTGTTGGGGATTTCAATCTTTCTATTTTTTCCACTGCAGTTTAGGTGTTCAGAGAAGATTCATTGTATGTGTGCAGGTTACTGGCATGGTTTAGAAAACTGAAGTGATTTTCATTTAATAGAGTTCAGAGTGGTTTTAGTAACAATAAACTGGAGGATTGTATTAATAATACACAGATTAGGGGAAAATTCTTTTGCTAAAAGAAAGCATAAAACCAGCTGTGTAATACACAAATAGTCCAAGTCGCTCAAAAACTGTGGTTGAGTCAGAGCCAATGTCAAAAGCTGCCACATCATAAAACCTCTTGAAGTTAAACCCCACATATTAAAAGCTCTTTGGATATCTTAATTTGTACAGTTGGGTTTGACACTGAAGACAAAAATGAGAATCTTTACAGCAATAAATCATAATAATAATGTAATTTCGTAAATTTAGGAGACACATTAAAACAACAAAAAGGGTTGAAAAGACAAGGTGTTAAATGGAGTGTTCTTGACAAGTCATTTGTCCATGAGGAAATGGACAAACGGGTTTTCAGAGGTGGGTGTACAGTTGCACGGTTAACTTTAGGACAGTTTTAATCAATCCCTAGCAATTAAACTAGAAACCTAAAAGTAGCCCAGGAAGATGCCTTTTCTTGTAATACCTTCCAGCTTGAATGTCAGCTGAAATAGAGGTTACCTCAGCTTGGGGTAAAAATGACAGAGACCAGCAGATCAGGAAGCTAAAATTACCCCTGGTTACGAAGTTCTAAGTGGAGAATTGCAGCAAGGTTCACAAGGGAACCCGTTGCCAGCTGCAAGCAGAGCTTTATGCCTGCCTGTGTCAGCAAGAGATTAAATGACAATTTGAATTAAATAACCGATATGAAAAAGAAAAGTCACCCATCTTCTTAAGGAAAGAGCTGACCATGAGTGTGTCTCTTCAAGAGAGAGTGCCAAAGGGCAGGTTTGGCTAGAAAGCTTAGGCTCAGCCCTCATGAAATACTCAGCAACAAATGGGTTTTCAGTTTGTGTGCGACTTGAGTCTGATCTCTTCAGTTTCAGGCAGACCATACGCTTTGGCTGGTTGAGTGGACAACCCCCAGCCTACCCCAAACACTCGAGTGTAGCTTGATGCTGATCTCAGACAATATTCCAGTATATTCCCAGCCCTTGTCGCATACCAGGAGCTGCTTTTTAAACTTTTTTAAAGCTCATTCCAGTTCATGATCCCAAAGGGAGGAGACACTTTCTTGAAGTCCTACATTCCTGAAACTGCCGCCAGGCCGGGCATATGCTCTCTACAGATCCTGGGTGCCGGCCCCATGCTGGGAGATGTATGAATTTCATCCAGCACCTTACTGGGTGCCTCACTTCCACGGGAACCTCTGAAGGAGAAGCCGTTGAACAGTAATTGATGCAGTAGCTGTGATTGCCCTGCTCTACAGGTAGCAGTATGAACCATTACTACGAATGTTCTTCAGGTATCAGGTCAGCTGTATTACCTGCAAATCTTTTCTCTCTGACAGTCCTCACACCTGCCTCAACTAGGAACTTTTGGCCTCAGCTTCCAAAGTTAAATATATTTTTTTAAAGTACAAGGGAGTAAAGAAGGAACGGAAATATTTATTGTTTTAATAGCTGAGATGAAGTCAAATAGTCAAATCTATATTTCTTAAAGAAGTTAGCAACTCTCAAATGTAAGAAAAAATGGTCTCTGAGGCCGAGCGAAAAACCGCCAGGTTTGCCACGAGCTGTCCGTCTGTAGCGCCACCAGCGGGCCAGCAGTACTTGCAGTCCCTTCGGTGATGTCCCTGCCTGTTCGGGTTTCACCGAGACTGGCTGCTTAGTTCAGCTGGTATGTGGGACGGCCTGACTGACAGGCAGGACAGTTTCTAGACAGAGAACTTACTGAAAAATCAAATCAAACAACTTGTCAGGGACTGTACTGCTGATCTGGCCTGAACAGCTCAAGCCAAGGCCACCAGGCTTCAAAATGTGTCCCTTTTGTGGGGCAGCATTAGACCACTGAAAGTCAGTTTAGGGGCACGGGGTGTGGAAGGGAACACTTCCAGGTGCTGATTTCCTGAAACCACTCATTTGGCAGGCAAGGGCTGCCTAAACACGTCCCTCTTGGCTTCGTCTGGGGAACCTCCTCGGGGCCAGAGGGAGAAACCTCTGCAGCCCTAAATAGCTGCAGCATAACAGCAAACGCAGGCCGAAAGCCGACCTCGCGGCCAGGCCATGCCGCCTGCGCGCACAGGAGGCCACAGCAGCATCCCACTGACCAAAAGCGGCTCCTCGCACGCTATGGGACCGGCTGCGAAATCAGTTCTGTTCCCCTGGCCCTGTGGCCCTTACACCGCGTCGGCAGCAGGAGAAGCCACAGAGCGGTCGAATTGCTGCTTTCCCCGTTGCTGGGTCATGAGTTCGGCTTTCCCGGGGCAGTCCCTGTCCCTGCCACTCTTCTTGCCCGCTTTGAAACACTCCTGTCCTTTAAATCTGGTCATCCCTGCTCTGCCCTTGGCATTCATTTATGCTGCTGCATCGCCTCCCTCTGCCCTCCACAAGCAGCAGCTCCTCTGCTCGGTGGCCAGGTTGAGCTGCTCTGCCAGTCAAAAGCAAGGGTATGGCCGTCCGGCGCTCTGCGTGGCTTCGGTGGAAACGCGGGGGCCCAGAAACAACAGGGTGGATGAACGCAAGGGGAGGAGGGGGAAGCAGCGGTGTTTTATTGGTATGGGTTGGCACTTCTTTTGAAGAGCAAAGCATTTTCTCTTTAGAAGAGGGCAAGAGAATCTCAAATGGCACACTGGCTTCGGGGTGGGGAGACCCAAATCACAGCACAGTGTTACTCTCAGGCTTGGCACTCAGCTCCTCAGCATTAGCAGCCACCTTTAAAAAACAAAACAAAACAAAACAAACCCACGCCAAAAAAAAGGCAAACCCACAAACAACCCAAAACCAACAGCAAAGCAAAACACCTGCTTCAGGAGGAGAACACTGGTTATTTAGGTGATGGAAACAGGCAAGTGAAGTGAGGTCCCAAAGTGGCAATAAGCTGGCCAGCCCGCCACAGCAAATGGCAGAGTAAAAATACCCTGTACGGTCAAGTTAACCAGGCACCCAAGGAGCCGTTTGCCCATGGATACAATCCCTGGTTTTAGTGGAGAGAGAGAGCAATTTTCTTTCTGAAACCACTGAGAAGGCGGCTAGGGGGTAGGGAAGAGAGCATGTTGGGGAACAGGGGTTTGCACTGCTGTTATTTCGTGCCCTTCAAGGTATTTTTGAAATTTTCAGAGATGCCATTTCCAGGTAGAACAGGTGCCGTTCCCCAAAGGGCAACGATAAGAGATGCTGCGAGGGATGAGTGTCATGATGGCACGTGATTGCTTCTCTGGCCAAAATGCTGATTCACTGCAGAGCTCTCTCCACCACTCTTTTTACTCTTAGTGGTGTAGGCAGCAGAAGCTGGCGAGAGCCCAGTTACTGGCAAACCATGGTCTTTGCTCTTGTGTGGGAAGTTTTTCCTGCTCATCAGAACCTGCTCTGCTTTATGTAAGGCATAAATATAGTGCTGCGCTTTGTGGCTGCCAGGCCTTTC